CTTTTTTGAGTTCACGAAGTTTTGGGGCCGATTACTATGTAAAATCAGATATTAGATACTATTTCAGAAAGTCCTTTTTGCTCGTTAATATTGCAAAATATGTTGCTTGTTGTTTTCTAATGTTGGTTCACAAGTAACTTTTTTTCCCAATACTTTATATATTTTTTTAATATATACTTCTTTTGTCCAGGCCTAACTTTTAGCAAGTGAGAGGGATGATTTGTCAGATGATGTCAAAACCGACCTACCTCTCTTTTTCGACTCAAAAAATTCCTAGCTTTAATCGTACGAGGTTTCCACTCATACTGGTAAATGGGAAAGTGCTAATGAGTCATTCGATGAATATGCTGTTTCACTCCCCGGATTCTGAATTAAAATATTGGTGGTCCGAAACTCGTGGTGAAAAAACGACACTAAGATATCCGGTACCTAATAGAAATTTCTGGCAGGAGAAAGGTTCTCTCTTCATGGTAATCTAGCACAAGCTATGAAGCATTGATCTTGCTGGTTTCAGTGGTTTTTACCGTTTCACAGTGTACCGAAGCAGAGTCAACCCTGCGTTGCGCAGTTCGCAACGGCACGTTGAGAGATCCTCAACGCACGCTGTATGGGCGGAGACACAGACGGCTCGAGCATGCGAGTGTGAATGTTCGCGCGAGAGAACGTGTCTAATCGGGCGAAACTGCGCAACGTGGCCGTTGAGAACTGCGCAACGCAGGGTTGACTCTGTGCCGAAGAGCCTAGGAGAATAGCCTAGAAAAGCAATGCAGGGAAAAGGCGGAACAACGGGACGATTTTTCGAAAGAGTGGTCATTAAGAAAATTTAAATATTTTTCGAAAGCGCTAATCTTCTAGTTTCTAATTAGCCTTAGACATCTGCAAAAAGTTGATTATGAAGAAAGTTATGAATGTTTGAATGTCGAAAACTCGCGTGTGCACAAAAAACGGAACAACGGGACGATTTTTTGAAGTATTGAACATCTGCAAGTTTTAAAACTTTTCGAGGAAGAGAACAATTTGAAGTTTTTTTTTAATTTTCGTACCGCATCTCATGAGACCCATTTGAAAGAAAGTTATATCCTTCTGAATGAAGAGGCTTGTACCGTAACGTAATTGCTGCAAGGTTCAGTATTCAGTTTCGCCAACCATGCCTAGATCTCCGAAAACTTGAATGTTCGAAAAGTTCCTCAAAGAGAAATCGTAAGGGCAAAACTGTTCGCGTTAATTTTGTCTCAAAACGTAGGCAAATATCAAGCGCGCTGCGCGCAAGCATACCTAGGGCCGGGTGCAGCAAGCCCCAGTCAGGGATGGGTTCCTAAAACCCTTCTTCTATACTATTCGATGACGCGCACTCCTCGAGATCAACAATATGGGAATGCGTTCAGAGATGCGAACGGACGGTACGCGTCCCGGGCAGGGCATATGGACTGCAGCCGTCCCACCAAAATTATGTTTCTTCTATACTGCGGTAGGCTCACACGACTCCGTTGAACACCTTCAAGCGGGATCGCCCGGATAACGCCTTCCATCTATCCTCTACTCGTGGCCTTATCCTATCAAATTGTAAAAATAATTATTGCCGTTGTCGATAGTTGAAGCTCCGAAGTTTTTTCTGACCCCAGAACTTCAACTGTCAACAACTGCAACTATCTCATCCTCTTGCATATTATTAGCAAGGCTGTTCTTGCTCTACCCAAAAATACTACCACATCTACATGAGAGCTACTGCTCCCATTTTCCCGAAGCCTTGAACACATTATACCCAACAAGCAAGCATGCACGGTTTTCTTCTTCTGATTTGAATCACTTTAGAAAGAAGTGGAATCAGTTCATGATATGAGCTAATAATTTCCAGTCTAGCTCCGCACGCTTCCGCGCCCATGAAACGGAAGGCCCAAATG